AGATTATCTCTTGGACAGTTTGATCATTTACAGGTGCAAAGTAAGTTAGCTCAAAGAGCCTTTTAGGCTGTTGGATGGTTATCTGTGGATTGGAGACAATGGCGTTTTTGATGCCTTGAACCTTGTCATTGAAAAAATGTGCAAACTCATTACATTTACGTTTGGAAGTTAGCTCTAATGGCATCTGAACAGGGGGGTTTGTTAATCTATTAACTGTTGAAAACAGAACACGCAGATTGTTGCTGCAGCCTTCAATCATTTCAGAAAAATACCTTTCTCTCGTACTACGTAGCACCTGGTTAAACTCGCACAACTTATCTTTGAAGATCTCGTAATCAACCTGGAGGTTGGACTTGCGCCACTTCTGCTTGGCCCTCCGGCACTTTCTCTTTTGTGCTCTGACCGAGTCTGCTTTAGCCCATGGCGCCTTCTGCTTATTTTTCACTATTTTAACCTTCACAGGGGCAACGGTATCCAGAACATTCAAAACACTAGAGGTGACAGAGTTAAACAGTTCATCTACAGTAGAACATGATGCATTCTCAAAGTTTATCATTCCCATAAATAGATCACTCGTATTTCATGCGCCTTCTTCGAACAGTTGCAGAGTCCACTGCTGGTTTGTTAGTGAAACACATGTCAAAAAAAAAACACAGAAATGATCCGAAAGAGCAACATCGACCACGTTTACATTTGAAATATTCACCCCCTTAGTAACTAACAGATCTAGAGTGTGCCCTCTGCTAGGGGTGGGGCCACTTACGTGCTGAGTGAGATCAAAGGATTCAAGTCCAGAACTCAGGTCATTTGCATTTCTGTCATCAACATTATCCACATGAATATTAAAATCACCTGTAATAACCAAACTATCAAAATCTGTGAATACAACTGAAAGCAACTCCGTAAAATAATCAATTAAACTGTGACATGACTGCGGTGGCTTGTATAGGACAATGAAGAGTATTGGAAGATATTGTTTTTGTCGTATTTTAAAAGACACATATTCAAATGACGAAAACTTCCCAAGAGACATTCTATGGGAGACAAAGTGGTCTCTAAAAATGGCAGCTAAGCCTCCTCCTTTTTTGTTTTCCCGTATTTCAGATTCAAATTTGAAATTTGGTGGTGATGCTTCTATTAAAACTGCATTTCCTGAATTTTGGTCAAGCCAAGTTTCAGCCATGAACATAAGATCAAGATTATGAGAACAAATAAAATTATTGATTAAAAAAGACTTGTTACAAAGAGATCTGACATTAAGCGTAGCAAGTTTCAAAGTTTCAGTATCAGCGGTTGTGGTCGGCTGATTCTTACACGGAACAAGAATTAGGTTTTCCAGATTAGACTAATTAACTCCAGATGTCTTTCTGTAATGTATTCTTTGTGTTATCACTAAGGAAATGGCACAGGTGGCTTTGTGACAGGGCCCCAGCCGGGTCTCTCCTCTAACTAGACTGCCAGTGGCTGCGAAGCAGAGACCTGAGCATCCTAGTGTTTAGAGAAAAGAGGGGACAGGGGAGGAGGATGGAGAGGTGGGTGGCTTTTGGGTGTTGAACGAGGGGGGCAGGGAGGTGGAGGGGTTTTTGGTGATGGCTTAGGGGCGGGGTGGGCTGAGGAACGAGGGGGAAGTGGGGGTGGAATGGTCATGAGGTTAGGGGAGGGACTGGCTGAGGTGGTTTTTGTAGGTGAATTGGAAACCCTAGGTGGTTTTGGAGGTACATATGGGGAGTGGTTTAGAATGTTGGACAGGACTCTAGATCTCGCTAATATGGGTGTGAGAGGAATAGTCTTCATCGCCGATTTTATTAGCCCTGCAGAGTGGTCAGGTAGGTCTAACAGTGAAGGCAGGGATGAAAAACAAAGGGACGTGTCCCCATTCTCTCTTGATGGAGTGGACGTAGCAGGGGGGACCCAAGACAGGTCAATGGGAGGTGGCGAGGGAGTCTTTGATGGAGGGGCAGGTGGTTGAGGAAACCCCAGCACAGGCCTGTCTGCTGTAGCAGACTTCAGAGCTTCAGAGGCGCTGTAGATGAAGAAGGCGTGACTGCTTCGGAGCAGGCTGGGGATGAGGATGTTGGTGGTGGTGGTCGTGCTGCTGGTGCTGCTACTGGTGATGATGCAGCTGCTGCTGGTGCTGATATAGCTGCTTCTGATGACAGTGGAGATGTTGAGATCCTTCGAGGCGGTGATGGTGTTGAGATCCTTCGAGGCGGTGATGGTGTTGAGATCCTTCGAGGTGGTGGTGGTGTTGAAATCCTTCAAGGTGGTGGAGGTGTTGAGATCCTTCGAGGTGGTGGTGGTGTTGAGATCCTTCGAGGTGGTGGAGGTGCAGAGACTTTTGGAGTCGGCTTCCTCCCTTTCGATGGCTGCGCAGGCTGGAGTCTCAGGGAAAAAGAAAGGTTATTGTTGTAGAGTTAAAATGTTGTATACTAATGATTTTCAGTAGGTGTTTGTATAACATGTCTTTGTGCAATATTAAGTTTTGGATTTAGTGGAATTCAGAGGAGCACAATGGACAAGGCTTCTGTGATAAAAGTATCATATTCAGGAACAGCGTGTCTCTCTTCTTATCGAGACAACGCCTGAGACACAAAACTGGACTAGGCCAGTCCAGACCCACAGACCCACCTCAGACCATATGACGTCATCGGACATTCTGATAAAAGTGTTGGGAGGACAACTTTGTGGGCAGTCGGAGCACAGGGATATTTAGGGAATTAATAGCTCCGAGAGTTCTGTATCAACATTTAATTGTAAAGAGAAATAAATGTTCTATTTTAACTCTTGCAAATCTTGGCCTTATCAAATTCTGAACACGTCAGTCAAATCTTTTTGACAACAAATGGTGACCCCGATGTGATTTGATACAGAAAGAAGACGCAAGATGAGCTCAGATAGAGAAACTGGGTCTGTGGGTCTGGAGACTCTCTACTCTACAAAAAGGTAAGCAGATCATATTTTTGAAAATCTGCACATTGTTTTTAATAGAAGAGAGAGAGGTCTCGGCCCAACACGACTGCAGATGTGGACAGACCCGCCGTGATGGGCGTTTTATCGGACGCGATAAAACAATAGTCAGGTTTTTTGATGTTTTAGCCTTGAGGGAAAATTGGGTCCCCTCTAAAAAAAAATTAAAAGGGAGAAAAGAAAGTCCACAAGAGTTTTTAGAAGTGCAAAAGAGGCACACCGTTTTAGAAGTGCAAAAGAGGCACACCGTTTTAAAGTGCAGAGAGGCACAAGTGTTTAGTGAAAATAGAAATAGAATTAGAAATAGGGACAGTTAGGGTCAGAAGTTATAGGATAATAAAACCTTCCATATCCCCCGGGGGGCAGGAAAAAGGGTACATTTAATTTAAACAAAAAAGCCAAGTATTTAAACTGTTGGATTCTGACTATTGAATAATAATGATCTGATTAATGAGAAAAAAGAGAGCCACTTGGCTGTAGATGCGAGTTTCATGTGGAGAAATTACAAAAGGATCAGTTCTGGGAGTTCTCTTGTATTGTGATGTAATGTTTTAATAGTTACAGAGGTATTACGAAAAAAAAAAGGATCCTGCTGTAACTAGTGATACATTGTTCATGTAGGAAAATTGTAATTGTTCCATTACTGACGTATTTAATGATAAGTGTAAAGTGTCGTTTGACGTGAGAAAACTCTCACCACTGATTAAAACATTGTCACGATAAAAAACGAGGAAAATGTGGCAAATTTTAAAGGGGATGTTCATGAATTTGGTGTATTTCAGTCGTACATGTTCTCCTGTTTGAGAAACCACACAGCCCCTCCCCTTCCCTCCTTCTCCCTCTCTGAAAAATGCTTGATGCATACAGGCCACTCAGCCCCTCCCCTCCCTCCTTCTGTCTGCTCTCTCTCTCTCCAGTTAAGAAAGAGGCATACCAAATATATTTTTTGTAGAAAATTACATTTATACACACGATAATGTTACTGTCATGGAGTCATATGATCACAGAACTTTGAGTTAGATTATAAAGAGGCATTATTTTTATTTTTTGGCCATTTCCAAGGCGTCTAGACAAGTTATTAAACATTTTTTCCCAAAATGTTGGTGATATAAAATTTAAAATGATCTTAGTGAGCATTATACTTTTGGAAAAATAGGGCTTAGGATAGCAGTTGAATGCAGATTCGGTTTTCAGAATTTAATGTTTAAAATGTTAATATTAATTATTTCATAGGTTTATTTAGATTTGTAATTAATCATTGGTTTTGTATTGTATTAACACACTTGTTTGTGTTTCTTGTTTGTCTGTTTTTTCTGAGAAAACTTCTGTCTGTTTCATTGGCCGATCGCCAAAATCGTCCCTGCCACAAACCACAACCGAGCGTCATCAAAACGGACCATCAGCGTCTCCCCCGACCCACAGGGGGCACCAACAACAGCAGTATCGGCTGCAGCAGCGAACAAGAACTTTCGAAGAAGACTTCTCCGGCCTCCATTTCTGTCAAATAAACTGTTGGCCGACACAGCTTACTGAATTCGACTTGTCTGCTTTATTAACAACTCGCATATATCATGCTGCTTACATGTTTCAGATCTCGTCTGTCTAACACACGAACTCTCGCGTTACTTCCTATATATAATGTATTGACTACGTAATGCACCTTTTACATTACAGATACCTTGACATCTCCCCCTCAAATTATTATACTTATATAACATGGGGTCACAACATTAAGCTTATAATTAGTAAACCTTATTACCTGTTAGTTTAAACAACTTAAAAGAGTTACTGCTTTTCTTTCTTGTCTTTACCCATTAACCTTAAAATACTGTACTTCTCAGATTACTTCTAAATGTAAATAATAACTCAAACTTAACTTAAATCCTTAATAAAACTTAAATTCACTGTTCTCTGAGTTGCTTAACTACATGTCCATTCTTTTCACAGGTCTACTAACTCTACCAAACCTGGTCACTGTCAGTCCTTCTGGTATTACTGTAGGACTCTTAACATTACTCTCACACAGTCCCTGGTCAGAGCCTAGTTGTGGTGCTTCTTGCTCTGGCTCTGTGGCAGGTTGCCCAGAGTCTGTGTTCTCCTCTTCCATCGGTGGCGGCACTTGTTGAAGATGACGCCTGTTTCTCCTCATCTCTCCTCCTTCTGGCGACTTCACCTGGTATGAGCGCGGCATGCCGCACTCCTGCTCGACCTTTCCACACCTTCTCCCCGTCCAGCTTGGACAGGACGTGGTCACCTGTGTGCAAGGGTGGCAAGTCCCTCGCTCCGTGTCTCCGGTTGTAGTAGAATGCCTGTTGTTGTTTGGCTTCTTCATCACGGCGACGGATGAGGTCACGGTTTGGCTGCTTTGGAATGAGGTTTTTCTTTAGAGATGGCAGTGTGGTGCGAATCTTACGCCCCATGAGCATTTCTGCCGGGCTCACTCCTGTGGATGTGGTGGGGGTGGCGCGGTAGCTCATTAAAGCCAATAGTGGGTCGTCCTGCTTGAGTATGCGCTTTGCAGTTTGCACAGCGCGCTCTGCATGCCCGTTCCCTTGTGGGTTGTGCGGGCTGGATGTGGAATGTTTAATGTCATACAGCCTGCAAAACTCTTTCCAAGCATCACTGGTATACTGGGGCCCGTTATCACTGACTAAAAGCTCAGGGATTCCGAACCTGGCGAATGTTGCTTTCATGGACCTCACTACCTGTTCTGTAGTTGTGGTTGATAAGTGTAGTATCTCCAGATACCGTGAGTAATAATCTGATATTACTAAGTATTGTTTTCCTTTGTATTCACAAATGTCTGTGGCTATCTTTTGCCAAGGTCTCTCAGGCAGGGGTGTTGACAGTAACTGCTCTCTGCGCTGAGTGCGTCTGTCAGACAAAAGTTGCACTTGTCAATTTTTCTTTTAATGTCCCCTGACATCTTGGGCCACCACACAGTCTCTTGGGCACGTTCTCTACACTTGGACAGGCTCTGATGTCCCTCGTGTAGGCGGTCTACCACCTCCTGTCTCAAGGCCTGTGGGATTACAATGCGACAGCCCAGCGTGATCAGGCCCTCACATTCAGACAGTGAGTCTCTCATGTCGTAGAAGTCTCTAACACTGTGTGAAGTGCTACTCACTCGTTTGGGCCATCCATCCCTGATCAGCTTTCTCACGTTCTGGAGCTGTGGGTCCTCCTGCGTGGCTGTCCTGATCCGGTCCAGCTTGCTTTGTGAGACAGGCCAGCTGTGTGTCACTGCGTTCACGTGGCTCGCAATGGCTGCTTCCGTAGTGCTGTAGCTCTCCTTCAGCGGGCTGCGTGACAGTGCGTCGGATATGACCAACGTTTTGCCCGGTGCGTACTCGGCCTTTGCATTGAAGCGCATAAGCCTCATCAAAAGTCTCTGACACCTAACAGGCACCGCGTCTAGGTCTTTGCTGTTTATCAGCGGCACCAGCGGCTTGTGATCTGTTATGAGTCTAAATTTGTCCATGCCAACCAGGTACTTCTGGAACCGCTCACAGGCCCATACTCCTGCCAAACATTCCTTCTCAATTTGAGCGTACCTGGTTTCCGCGTCCGTTAATCTTCTGGAGCAGTACGCTACAGGCTTCCAGCTCTCTCCGTGCAGCTGGAGCAGGACTCCTCCCATCCCGTAGCTACTCGCATCCGCTGACACTGCGGTCGGTCTCTGTGGATCATAGTGGGCCAGTACAGGCGAGGTGACGAGGGCTTCTTTCAAGCGCTGAAACGCTCGCTGCTGTGGCTGGTCCCAGGTCCAGGCCATCTTCCCCTTTAGGAGATCGTACAGTGGGCCTGCGACATTTGCCATGTCTGGTATGTATTTGCTCATGTAATTTATCATGCCTAATGCACGCTTCAGTTCATGTACATTGGTGGGCACATCCAACTCTCTGACGGCGCTCACCTTTTCTGGGTCCACTCGAACCCCGTTGGCGTCCACGATGTGGCCCAGGAAGCGTAGCTGTGGTTGTGCATAAACACATTTTTCTTCATTCAGCTTAAGGCCTACTTGCTTCATACGTTCGAGTGTGCTTTGCAAGTGTCTGTCATGTGTGGCCTTGTCCTTTCCATGCACAATCACGTCATCCATATACCCTGCGACTCCTTCCAGGCCATCTAGCAGCTCATGCATTTTGCGCTGGAATATCTCTGGGGCTATATTAATCCCAAACGGAAGGCGGGTAAAACAGTACCTCCCGAAAGGTGTGATGAATGTAGTTAGAATTCTGCTTTCTTCGTGAAGCGGTATCTGCCAAAAGCCTGAGGCAGCGTCGAGGGATGTGAACACGGTGGAGCCCGCCAGCTTAGCCAGCGTCTCATCTGTGGTAGGTAGCTGGTAAGTTTCTCTCTTCAGGTTCTCATTCAGCTTCTGGAGCCCTACACAGATTCTGACGGCGCCTGACGGCTTCAGGACTGGCACCATTGGCGCGCACCATTCTGTCGGTTGTGTCACTTTGACAATCACGCCATGTTCCTCCATGCGCTGTAGCTCAGCTTGGACTTTCGAAAGGAGTGGCAGTGGGACTCTCCTGGCTGTGTGTACGGCGTGTGGCACGGCGTCGTCACGTAGGTGTATCTTCACCGGGTCGGTCTTCATCGTGCCCTGGTGGACGGCTGCTGCCTTCACCTGCTGTACTCGCTTAACCAGCCCCATCTCCACTGCTGTATCTCTGCCCAGTAAGTTATTAACTGTAGGCCCTCTAGCTACATATATATTGAATATGTGCTTTCTCTGTTTATGTAATGTGCTAGCTGTAAATTGTCCCATAATGTCCAATGTTCCTCCTGGACTCTCTAATGGGCCATGGTGTGGCTCCAGCTTTCTTTCTGGTTTGAGTGCCTTGAATGTTTCCATGTTCATTACAGTGACGTCAGCACCTGTATCAATTCTAAATTTCACTGGTGTATACCCTATGTGAATTTCTCTGCACTCTGCACTGCTTTGTTTTTGTTTACTCACTGCACCAAGATAGAAGCTTTCGTCCTCATCATTTCCTTGGTTAACTTCCCTCACAGTCTTTGTGAAGCATTTTCTTTCCCAATGCCCCTTCTTCCCGCACTTCCTGCATTCGGAATCCGTTGCTGGGCATTTGGCTGCATTTTGGTGCTTTTCTTTACCGCACCGATTGCACTTGCTCTCCCCTTGGTAGCCGTGCTGCTGTCCTCCGCTCCTCTCTCCCTGCGGTTTCCCTCCTTTCTTCACGAACCTCTTTTGTTTCACTGCTTGCACCGCCAGTGGAGCCTGCTGCTCTTGCTGGGTTATCTGTTGTGCTACCTCTTCAGCTTGCCTCACCATAAGCACTGCCTTTTCGAGGGTTAAATCAGAAGTTAATTGCAATTTTCTGGACAGGTCTTTATCCCTTATCCCAACGACCAATTTGTCTCTTATGTGTTCATTTTTCTTATCGCCAAACTCACAGTTCTCACTCAGTTCGTGCAGGGCTCGGATAAATGTCTCCGCCATTTCCCCTGGTTTCTGTTGCCTTTGGTAAAAGCATGCCCTTTCATGTATTGTGTTTCGTTTGGGTATGAAATACTCATCAAACTTTTCCAAGACAGTCTCATAATCATTTTCGTCTTCTTCCTCTGTGAAGGTAAAAGTCTTGAAAATATTTTCGGCTTCGTTGCCCATTGCGTAAATTAACGTGCTAACCTGGACGTCGGCATCCTCGAGGCTTAGCTTGGAAGCTGACCTGAATCGTGCGAATCTCTGTCTCCACGACGGCCATTCTCACGGTTTCTCAAAGTTGAAGTTTTCCGGTGGCTTGAACTTTGCCATTTCTGTGCGTGTGTTCTCTCCTAGAGCACTTCTGACACCATGTCAAATAAACTGTTGGCCGACACAGCTTACTGAATTCGACTTGTCTGCTTTATTAACAACTCGCATATATCATGCTGCTTACATGTTTCAGATCTCGTCTGTCTAACACACAAACTCTCGCGTTACTTCCTATATATAATGTATTGACTACGTAATGCACCTTTTACATTACAAATACCTTGACAATTTCCATGGAGAGAAACCACAGACTTTTGCACAAACTGAGTGAAGTTATGTCCATGAAGAGGAACGTTGTGTGAACCAAGCGAAAGAGACGACACAATTGTGTGCGTCAGATATGAGAAAGAAAGTTATTGGAAGAAAGTGATTGAAAGAAGACATGGAAAGAAAAAGACGTTGCAAGAAAAAGAAAGAGATTGGAAGTAGGAAGTAATGGTAGGGGAAACCGGAAGACCCGGAGGAAACCCACGCAGACACGGGGAGAACATGCAAACTCCCCTCAGAAAGGCACTGTTCCGATCGGGATTCGAACCCAGGATCTTCTTGCTGAGAGGCGAGATGCTATCCACTCAGCCACCGTGCCGCCCAGTAAGAAAGAGTTAATTGAAAAAAAAATAAAATAAAGAAAGAAACCACAAGAGAAGACATTGAACACTTTGAGACAAAGACATTGAACACTTTGAGACAGAGACATTGAACACTTTGAGACAAAGACATTGGACACTTTGAGACAAAGACATTGGACACTTTGAGACAAAGACATTGAAAGACGCCATGAGAAAGAGAAAGAGACATTAACGGACATTTGGGGAGGACATGGCTGGGCAGATGAAACAGACAGAAGGTAGTATATACAGACAAGCAACAACGCACCGAGACATATAGGACATTTAGGTCATATTTACACATTTAGGTCATACGTTCATAACACTACATTTAACTGCATGAATGATTACAAGCCAATCTTCAAAATTAATAGACTCTTACTTTAGAATGAGACACAAGAGGATTAGAATAGCAGTATATTTGTGCATGATTTAGATGAGTTTTATTATTAAAACTATTATTATTATTTAAAGTTATAGACGCGGAGAAGTTTAGAATTATTGATTTTAACTGCATGATCTTGTTAATACGGACATTTAAAGCAGTGTACTTCAACCTCTGAGCCGTGGCTCGTTTCTCATTTAAAACAATCACATGCACAGTTGAAACTGTTGCTAGAAAGAGAGCTGCAGCCTTTAATAGACGTTGCATTTGGTAAAAAGTGTTTTTTTCAGACAATCAAAGTTTGAAAAATAATAATAGAGTATTTCTAAATCTTGGTTAAAGGTGATATTGGATCATTTTTGATGGCACACTACGAACCACGGCCCACTGGTTGAAAACACGGATGTAAAAACATTTTATGAAATCTTTTATGACATGTTTCTCTTCCAAATAGATAAATTAGAAACAATTAGGACAATTATGTCTTTGATACAACTGTTGGCAGTTTATCTGAGACATGATTCGTGAAAGTACGTTAGTACACGTACAATAGTAGTGTTTTCTCCACATGAACGTGAAACAAAGGTGAAGTATTAAAGTTTGAAATTAATTTACATTTTTAATGAATCCGAACTGGCTTTACTGAAAAAGGGAAAACATTTATAGCACGTGCACGAGTCTGAAAGTAACAATAAGAGCTCATTAAAACTATAGGGGACACAGTTTGTGAGAAGCCCGAGTGAAGACCACGTGGTTTAAACATTAAAGTTTGAAATGGATCCTTTTAGGAAAAAATCTCTTAAAGCTCTGCATATTCTGCAGGCTCTGAAAGTTGCAACAATAAAATAACTCATGAGACAATTGTAATTGGACATGGAAAAATATAACAAAGTTAAATTACAGGCCTTCTGTGTTGTCTATATGTTTGTGTGTGTTATATGTTTGTGCGTCATGTCAAATACACTACGCTGACCTTAACAAACTCTGGACCAAAATACTAACGTGGGGAGTCGGTGTGTAGCCAGTGAGTGTGTTGTGAGTGAGGGGTGAGTGAGGAGTGAGTGAGGAGTGGTGAACGAAGAATGGAATAACAAATGTTTTTCTTTAATGTTTTAATGTGATCATTGAATAATTATTTTTGTCAACAGCATACGGTGTAAATACTAGAGATTCAAAGATAACAAGCTTTATTGAACAGGTGTAAAAGTGAGAGTACTCTGGTGAAAGTACTCTGCTGAAAGTACTCTGAGATGAGTACTTTGCTGAAAGTACGGGGAGTCCCTCCCTCTGCTGTTTGTCCTGACAGTGACACAGTCCAGCCGCAGTGAACGGTCATTGGTCGGAGGACAACTTTGGTTTGTAACTCACATTTAGTGGAGTATAAAATTAGAAACATACATTTTGTTAAGTCTGTATTTGGCTACAGCCCCTGCCCTGATGTCACACGCCCGTCTGTCAATGCAGTTATGTTTTGCCCAATTGGAATGATTGACAGGCTGCACCATGCGAGGGCAGGGAAGTGGGCATTTTTTTGTGTTCTAATGTTTATTTTTCAGATAAAAGATAAACTACACCTGCTTCAGGGAAAACACAGTAGTATGAAACATGAGAAGGAAATGAGCCTCTTCTTTGGCACCACAGCCATACGAATTGAGGACGACCCGGGAGAAACAACTGGAGATCATTGGAACAGTAATCTACACACACACACACGCTTACATTTACACTTGGCCCACGACCAAGAGAGGGAGTATTGTAATGTTATTGTCATAGGTGGTCATGGTCCTTAACCTTCTAACTTTAGAAAGAAGTGTAAAACATATATTTACAAGAACAATAAATAGTGGAAAGGGCAGCCTAAAAGCAAAATGGAAAATTATTAATTAATTTTCGGAGTTGCCAAAATAAAATAAAAATCTTTATTCGTCCCACAGGGGGTCATGCTAATTTTATTGTTGTGCAAATTCAAAAGGAGAAATAATAGCGCTTATAATGCACACATCAAATAGATCTACTCTTTAAGATAATAGATCATATAATAATAAGATAATAATATAATAGAATGAAATAGGTTGGAGCTATAGGTTAAAGTGTTGCCAACTATAGTAATAATAGTTAGACTAGTGAATAATCAAAATTGTTTTTATGTGAAAATAAATATCAATAATGTCAAATTATTCTAATAACTAAAGTAAAAAGGAACCAAATGGAGTCAGATTTTAGATGCTTCTGTTTTCCACATCTGTAGGATCTAGTGCAGATGTGGTTATAGAGAGTAGTATTAAAATGCGGACATAGAACAACAGGCTTTAACAATTTTTTAAATCTAAAAATAGCTCAAATATAACATTGCTCTGGATGCAGCCTCTGAGCTGCTCCATTGGAGAACAGGTTAAATGTTATTGTTTATTACAAACAGCTGATGTATTTACACATATTAAGTTTTGGACAACACTTTAAACAATTATAAGCAGCGGACAGAAGCCATGAATGTGCTTTTGTTTATTAAATAATTAATTTCATAGCCATATAATCGTAGATAACGATTTTTAATTAGTTCTCTTCTTCCCGCTCCCTTTCAGGCAACTTGATTTAGATGTATGTCTTTTATATTTGAGAACTACTGTGTTGTTTTTGGAATTGTCTGAAATACAATACATAAAATAGTGATTTGCAGAACAAGAACCAGCCAATGAAAAATCATCTATTGCCGATGCTATTGCTATAACCAGAACCACAACTGTGACCAAATGCAATAAATGTTAAGTATTCAGACATGTGACAGACGAAAACTTTGACCTTTTAGTCTGGGAGACTGAGCAACTGTTAAAATGTTTTAAAATGATAAAGTATGAGTATTGTAGCGTTTTAGTAGATGTTAAAAGTGATAGACGTCACAAATTAGAAATATGCCTTGGCAACCGAGCTTTGGAGTCACAATAGAGTAGAAATAGATACATGCATCAACCATAGATGCTTTAAAAAATAGATATTATTTTTAGCCAGTGCTAATATCAAATGGTAAAGGGACCATTTCACAAGCATTTACTTCAAAAGTAGATAAAGTTAATACAATATATGTACAGTTTTATTAGATACTTGTCAAATTCACTTGTTTTAAACATCTGTGAATGTTGACAATGCAGAAAGTTCATGAGTGTAGCCTAGACTAATGTAGCTTAGATTAATGAGATAGATTAGAACCAACAGAGATTCAAAACATTTAAAAGCATTTTGATGTATTTGGGTATAGCAAAAGAGTAGATATTTAGATATTTTTGAGAATTTTAAAAGCTGTCGATTTGTCAGCACAGATTAGAGAATGTACAATAGACATGGAGCAAAATCCCACTGGCACAAAGCCACTGATAATGAAAGCAAACCACAGTATAGAGAGATTTATTAGATTAAAACATATGTTTAAGAATATGGCTCAATAAAAGCAAATATGCAAACATATTTGTAAATAGATTAGAATAGTTTTAAACTATAGTGATTAATAAAAGTTTTAGTGCATACATTAC